TCTCCGGGCTCGGGGGTCCGGAAGACCCTCTGGTCGGGGGCGGCGCTCTCAATGTTTGTCACAAAGAGCAGCCCTGGGACCGCGACAGACACGGGGGAGGGGCGGTCAGAGGGGCTCGGGGGGCTCGGAGGGGCCGCGGCTGCCGTTGAGGGGGGGTCTCCCCGGGCCGGGCCCCCCCCCCGTACCGAAGTAGCTGTTGGCGGGCACGGGGATGAGTGAGGGGTCCTGGTCCTTCTCGCCCCCCGCCTCGAAGGGGCCGGCGTCGAGGCGCAGCAGATCCAGCGAGCTCTGGTTGAGCTGCTCCACGCGCAGGGTCCCTGTGGGGCCCGGGGGGGACAGCGGGGACACCGTGGGGACCCTCCCGAGACTCCCCCGAGACCCTCCCGAGAGCCTCGAGATCCGGGGAGTTCCACGGGCAGGGAGCCCCCCCCGGGGTGAGGGGACACCGAGGGGACCCCCGGGGACACCGAGGGCTCCAGGGAGCTCTGGCTGAGCTGCTCCACGAGCAGGGAGCGTGTGGGGGTCCCAGGGGACACGGGGGACAGCGGGGACACCGTGGGGACCCTCCCGAGACCCTCGAGCTCTGGGGAGTTCGGACTCCATGGGCAGGGACCCTTCCTCAGGGTGAGGGGACACCCAGGGACACCGAGGGGACACCGAGGGACCCTGGTGACGCAGCGAGCTCAGCTCCAGCCCCAGCATCACCTGTGCACACCTGCACACACCTGGGAGGGGTCCCAGGGCTCTTCACCCTCCAAATTTTGGGTGCCACACCCCTCACACCCCCAAACCCCCACCGGGGAGGGGGTCCCGCCGCCCCTCACCCTTCCAGTTGTGGGTGCCGGGTGCCCCCAGCAGGGACACCCACCCAGACGCCCCTCACCCTTCCAGTTGCAGGTACCGGGGTCTCGGAGAAGGAGCACCCACCCAGACCCCCAAACCCACCCTGGGGAGGGGTCCCAGCGCCCCTCACCCTTCCAGTTGTAGGTTCCGGGTGCCCCCAGCAGCACGTAGCGGCGGTCGGGGCTGAAAGCGGCCGCCAGTCCCTGCTGGCAGGTCCCGAATCTCTCGTGGCCCTGTGGTCGCCCCTCGCAGAATTTCCACTCGCCGCCGTCCAGCTCGTCCCGCACTCGCAGGTCCTGGCTCAGCACGAAGCAGCGCCCGATCACGTCCCGCGTCTCCAGCGGCTGCCGCACCCGGTGCCGCACCTCGTACCGGTGGGCGCAGGTCTGGGGGAGGAGGAGGAGGAGGAGGAGGAGGAGTAGGGGGGGACACCCCGGTGTGGGGAGGGGTCACAGCGAGCCGGGACCCCTCCCTTTAAAGTGTCGCCGGTGTCCCCAAGCCACTCCCCGGCGCTCACCACGATCTTTCCGCCGGGCCCTTGGCTCTTGACGCTGACCCCGAGCCACTGGTTCTCTTTGCTCTCCCGCTGCGGGTCCACTGGGGGGGGTGGGGGGAACAGGGAGGGGTCAGCCCCGCTGGGACCCCTCCCCAGGGACCCCCCCGGCCCCCCCAGCTCACCTCCCTCATCGATGGGCACCCGCCAGCAGTCGGAGAGCTCGGGGCTCAGCGGGCAGGCGAACAGAGCCCCGGTGCGGTTGGCACCTTGGCCGGGCAGGGCCAGCGCTTGGGGGGCTCCCACGAGCAGCCTGGGGGAGGCGGGACCCCCCCGTTAGGGGGGACTCCGTGACCCGCAGGACCCCTGGGCAGCC